TGTACTTCAGTACATGTGACAATAAATCAATCAATCAATCAATCAATGATGGTCATTGGCAAATGGGTTGACATGGAGGAGATAAGCAGCCATGGGGTAGTGAGGTGGTGATGATTGTGGGATGTCAGAGCTAGAAAGCTTAATTTTTAAGGAAACTGGGATGAAATCCCAAACAACATTCAAATCTCTGTGTTCTGAGGAAGGGTCACCGGACCCGAAACGTTAACTCTGTTTTCTCCTTCACAGATGCTGCCAGACCTGCTGAGCTTTTCCAACAACTTTGTTTTTGTTTTAATTCATATTATTGGCTATATTGGGTGCTACAATCCACAAGAGCAATATGTGGATATATCCCTCACTCTTCATTTAAAACTAGTCAAAGCTGTGGTGGAGTTAGTGTTTTGTTTGTTTCTGTATAATCTGGAAAATTCAATGTTTTCAGTTCTTTAATTAGAAAATCTTGCCCTTTTTTCCTATAGTTTTACCATTTTCATTCTACCACCATATCGTCTGTTTATGTTAAACCATCAGACATATAGTTTATAATTTTCTAATCCCAGTTTTACTCATATCATTGATATCATAGAATCTCTACTGTGTGGAAACAGGCCCTTTGGCCCAACAAGTCCACACTGACCCTCAGACCATCCCACCCAGACCCATCCCTCTACAACCCACCTAATTTACACATCCCTGAACACTATGGGCAATTTAGCATGGCCAGTCCACCTAGCCTGCACATCTTTGGACTGTGGGAGGAAACCGGAGCACCCGGAGGAAACTCACGCAGACACGGGCAGTTGCAACAATAGCAGTTTTATTATTTACCCCTCAGTTATTTTTCTAAATCATAGTTGTTAAACAATGACACATACACTCATGTAGACATTTAATCTAAACAAAGACATACCAGGACATTTTAAAATATTCTTTTGTAGCATATGAATTTAAAAGTCAAACAGATCATATGCAAAAGAAGACTTGGAACCAGTAGTGATTTGAATAATTTATTAGCACTTGAAAAGATGTGCACCCAGAGCTTGGTTGATACATTACTTAGTTCAGTTCATGATGCATGTGAGGGAGGGGCAATAAATGCTTGATTTTACCTTAAACTCACACAGTGAGATATAGAATCATTAGAATCTCTATAGTGCAGAAAGCAGCCCATCAAGTCTGCTCCAACTCTCCAAAGAGCCCCCTACCCTATCCCCGTAACCCCACATTTACCATGGCTAAAATTGGGATTAGAACATTATAACCTGCATATCTTTGGACTACGGGAGGAAACTGGAGCACTTGACAGAAACTCATGCAGACGTGCAGAGAACGTGAAAATTCCACACAGTTACCCAAGCCTGAAATTGAACACGGGTCCTTGGTGCTATGAGGCAGCAATGCTAACCACTGGCTATGATTGGCTTTATCTCCTAGTTGAAAGAGCTGAAGGAACTGTCAACATCTTTAAGAAAATAATGCAACTGCAAAATAAGTTTAAGAAATAAAATTAAAGGCAAATGACAGTGGCTTAGTTTCTGGACTCTGATAACCCCAAGGATGTTGATAGTAGGGGATGTTCAGTGATGGTATTGCCATTGAACGTCATGGCTGATTGTTTAATTTTTTTTGAGATGGTCATTGCCTGGCATTTGAGTGGTTTGAATGTTTCTTTCCACTCTTCAGCCCAAGTCTGGACATTGTTTGGGTCTTACTGCGTTTGGTTGCTTCGATATCTGAGGAGTCATAAATAATGCAGAATATTGTGCAATGATCAACAAACATACCCAATTCTGACCTTAATGGATGTATGTTCATTGATGAAGCAGTTGAAGATGGTTGAGTCTGGAATGCTACCTTGAGGAACTGCAAAGATGTCCTAGAGCTGAGATAACTGACCTCCAACAACCATAACCATTTTCGTTTCTGTTACATGTGATGTCAATGATGGACAGCTATTCCCCAATTCCCATTGATTCCTTCATGCCATACTTGGTCAAATAAGGTTTTGATCTCAAGGGTAGTCACTCTCACCTCAAGTCTGAAATTCAGCTCTTTTGTCCATGTTTCAGTCAAGGTTATAGTTAGGCCATGAGCTGAGTGGCTCTTGCAGAACCCAAACTGAGCAGTAGTGAGCAAGTTATTGCTAAGCAAGTGCTGCTTGACAGCACCATTGCTATCAAGCAGCACTTGCTTAGCAATAACTTCATTGATGCTGGAGGACAGTTATTGACCAGGTTGGATTTGTCCTGCTGTCTGTAATTATAACAAAGCTGGCAATTTTCCACTTTGTAGGATCGATGCAAGTGTTGCAGCTGCACAAGATCAGGTTGGCTAGGGGTGCAGCAAGATCTGGTGCATTCATCTTCAGTGCTGTTGTCAAAAAGTTGTCAGGATCCATTGTCATTTCAGTATCCACTGCTTTCTTCTGGCTCTTGATATCACATAAAACGAATCAAACTGACATCTGTGATGCTGAGGGCAGCCAGAGGAGACCAAGAGCTATTATTTCATTCCGCACTTGTGGCTGAAAATTGTTGCAAATGCTTCAGCATTATCTTTTGCCCTGATGTGTTGATTGCCCCATATTTGAGAATGTGGAGCCTCCAGCCTTGGGGTGGCACAGTGGCTCAGTGGTTAGCACTGCTGCCTCACAGCACTAGGGACCTGGATTCAATTCCACTGTCGGGTCACTGTCTGTCTGGAGTTTGCATGTTCTCCCTGTGTCTGCGTCGGTTTCCTCCCACAGTCCAGAGATGTGCAGGTTAGGTGGATTGGCCATGCTAATTTGCCCATAGTGTCCAGGGATGTGTGGGTTAGGTGGATTAGTCAAGGGAAATGTAGGGTTTTAGGGATAGGTAGGGGGTGAGTCTGGGTGGATTGCTCTCAGGAGAGTCTGTGTGGACTTGTTAGACTGAATGGTTTATCTGCACACTGTAGGGATTCTATTCTATGAATTAATTAATTCATGACTGGATGTGGCAGAACTGGACAACTTAAATCTGATTTATTAGCTGTGCAGTCATTTAGCTTGTCTGTCGCTGGCTGCTTATGCTGTTTGATATGCAAGTAATCCTGTATTGTAGCACTACCTCATTCGTAGGTATGTTAGGTGGCGCACTTGGCATGCCCCCCTGCACTCGGCATGCCTCCCTGCACTCATCATTGAACTCGTATCATTAGGTCAAAATGGTAAACCCCATCCATAACAGCAATGTGGGTGTACCTACACCAAATGGACTGCAGCAAGAAGGCGGTTCACCACAACCTTCTCAAGGGCAACACAAGGGAAAAGAACAGGAAATTGGGAGATGGGGTTAGTGCAAAACCAGTCTAGCAAAGGTACAAGGACAGTGAGCGATTTGCTCCTTTCTGTGCTGTAAATATCAATGTGCAGTGATCTACTTAACAGTGAGAAGTTTTGAAATATATATTATAGTTGTGTGTATATATATTTAAAATTAAAACACATACTCTTCTTTGTTAATTTTGTCAAGTGGTCTGACCAGCCATGTGCAGCTCACCTAAATCAGAGAGATGGATACCAAGCGCAGACCCAAGGCCAACTGAAAGAACAGCTTTACCAGGAAATTATCCACTACTTTGACAAGGGAAAGGTAAAATGATTTTATAATGCTGTATGAGTACAAGATGTCATAAAAAGGCAATATTTTCAGTTGCAACAGGCAAAACATTTTGGAAATGCTCTAAAAAGGCTTTACATAATTTACACAAAATGCATAAAACTATGTATTGTCTTTAAAAATGTAACATACTGTTATAAATTGTCTACATTAATAATCAGTAAATTCAAATCTATACCAATTTCATATCTGTATGCAGCAATATTTTAGCACTTCCAAACTCTTGGAACTCTCTCCTTGACCTAAGTACAGCATTGTACACCCTGTCAATTTCTTCCTGTCGGGCATTCTAGAACCTGCTATCAGTGTTGATTCCTACTGACCCAAAAGGGGCGTGTCACCATTTAAATACTGCATCCATAGATTGAGATGGTTTCATATGTACAATAAACTCTCAAGGTCATGACTCAGATTTGGTAATCTCAAAGCTACACATTTTACATCTTTTAACAATGTGAAATTGCAAAGTAACCTAGTTAAACAGCTATTAAGCTACTTTAATACTTTGAAACTGGCAATATTGTATTGGTCAAGGTTCACAAGATTTCCAGTATTGAAGTGTACACCCAAGTATTGAAAATATTTTCCCAGTCTGAAAAACAAGGGAATTCACGTAATAAAATATTAGTAGTTGTAATCAAAAAGTTTGAGAATTTATGTCCCTAGATCTAGGGAATTATTGCTAATATTCTTTTGCTGTATGTCCATTTAAATAGAATTCCATTACTTGAGAGCAAGTCTTAGCTTATTCAATTCCAAATTTACTACAGCTGAAAAACTGTTTAACCAAAAATCTTATCCTGTCTAGTTACAAAAACGGCTACGTTCACTGCTCCAGATTATTTTTATGAGCCAGATTCTCCTCCCCTCTGCCCCATCTGGATCTTTCTGAATGTTAACCTGCCCTCAACAAGGCCTGTGAGCCCCAGCAGTCATAAATATTTGTCTGCCAGCGGAGATTAGCACTTTGAAGTTCTGACTAGCTAGTAACATCCAAGGAGGAGGATACCTGGCTCAGAAAAAATTCCTACAATGCAGATTCTGACCCAATGCTAGTATCCCCGCTATACTGTGAATTTGCACATTTTAGGGCAGGAGGGAAGTGACAATGCCATTTTCTTCCTGCATGCATCTGTGTCATGATGTTAACTTCATAATGAGACTGAAGTTAGGTGAAATCTGGATGTTTCCACGTTCATCTTAATTGTGCCTTAACTGGTCTGTACTTATTAACAGGCACAAGCCAAGATCTGCCCTCTTAGCCAGAACTCCCAGAGTAATTTAAAACTATGCAGACCCAATTATCCAGCTTTCCACTTTTATCCTGTCCTTTAATTCTGTGAAACAGAACAAGTGTCAGCAAAATCATTCTTAATATATTCCAAGGGAGGTGGTGGTGGTGGACGTGGTGGTAGTGGTGTGTGGTGTGTGGGCAGGGCACGGTGGCTCAGTGGTTAGCACTGCTGCACCACAGTGCCAAGGACCTAGGTTTGATTCTAGCCTTGGGTGACAGTCTGTGAGGAGTTTACACATTCTCCTCATGTCTGCATGGGTTTCCACCAGGTGCTCAAGTTTCCACCCGCAGTCCAAAGATGTTCAGGTTGGGGGATTGACCATGCTAAATTGACCCATAGCGCCTAGGGATATGCAGGCCAGATGGACTATTAGCCACAGTAAACACAAGAGTTCCAGGCATAGGGTGGGATGCTGTTCAGAAGGTTGGTGCAGGACTTGAAGGGCCGAATGGCCTCTTTCTACACTGTAGGTTTCTGTGATTCAAATAAGCAACATGTCAGTGTTTTGGTGCCTTTGTAGCCAATACAACAGTATGTTCTGTTACGCAGAATTATTACAAGTGCTAAAGTGCAATATAATGTCATAATTAAAGAAATTTGTTAATTATATTATTAAATTAATACTTTTATTTCAATATGTTTAGAATAGATTCAGAATTGGATTTAAAAGATTCTTGTTCTTGGAACATTTAACAGGCTCTGCTTCCATGGAGCTACATTATGTTATGTTAATTAAAATACTTACATTCTTCCCACACAATTTTGAACTGGATCAGACTAGTTCCTTAACTGTCTCATTTGTTCAACTGCCAACACCAACATAATCATAATCACACAATTTTTCATTGATTGTATAATAACATTAACAATTTAATATCTTAAAAGGTCACATTTTCTATTTTTATGTGCACTTTACTACTTTTTTAAATTTTTCTGTTGGATGTGAAGATAATAGTATGCTTGTTAATTGTATATTGCTTAATCTATTGACTTTATATACTTTAAATATTAGATTAACCCCTGAACTGCTTTACTGTTATAAGAAGTTCCTTATGAGCAGTGCTACTGAACCAGGAATACTATAGCAAAAAGTACAAATTGTTCTTTTCTTTGTGGTGAAATAAAGGCTTATTATAGATATTAAGTTGTCTCATTTGCTAAATCTTATTACTAATTGTTTTACTTAACACACTTTCTGCTGCTTTACTCCCTTCAAATTCCTCAACCTTCTCAGTTAGTCTGACATTCATCCTATCTTTTCATTCCATTGCTTACTGACACTTTTCTTTCACTGTTTCCCCAATGCCCACCTTATATTTTTACCTTTCCTGTTTATCAGTTCACCCTGTCACATTTCTTCTTCTGATCAATACATGCCAGTACCCTGCTTATATAACTGCCCCTCTTCCCACAAAGGGTTGCATTTTTGTAGAGTCGAGATTACTCAGCTGACTTTTAAACATGGTAGGCAAGATCTGGATGCAGATGTCCAACCCCTATTTCTAAAGGATCCTATTTTTGTCAGCAGGTTAAGGGAGCAGAGCATGAATCTTCCAGACAGGAAACCCAAACACTGCAAATCCATATACGTTTTGTGCTGAGTTAATACAGACTCCATTCTGCTTTTCCAAGGAATATAACCCGCAGTTTAAAATTCCCAAATGATTGGAGTAGATGTAAACAGACTGGAAAGGCATATTTGGTCTGTTTAAGTGTTGTTACACTGAGGAGGGTGGACTGATCGACTATCCCACTCATCCACTAGCTACAACAGAGTTTGTGTTTTGTGCTATTGTTAGTTGTATATATTAGATTGTTATTAGCTCACTATCAGTAAAAGGTCAACCTGGTTTCTGAATACCCTCCATGTTTGGGGAAAAAAAAAGAACTCTGCCAAGTATTACTTTATCAAAGTTCTTTAAAGTTAACAGTCCAGGTAGAAAAATTATTCAGGTTGTCATATGCTGCCCTGAAGTCAAAATTACTTTCCACTTAGGTTGTTGGATATGAAGTTTCTTGATCTCTTTGGATTAGTTATGGCTGGTTGACTTTTGTTTTACTAGAGAGAGTGTTGTAGATTTACACTTCCCCTTTAAAAAGCCTTCTTTTATGGCAATGAGGTCATCTGATAGAATTTAAACTGTCAAATTTAGTGAGAGGTATTTCAGAGAAAAAGAGACAATGCAAAGACTTGTTTCCCCGGAGCAGTTTCTGTCTATGTTTAAAAAATAACATATTTTAAAACCAAAATCTAAAAAGTGCTTTGACTTTTGGTGTCTTGGTGTCTACATTGACATGTTGATTTCCTCATTTTTGAATGTATCATTTTTTGCTGCTGTTGCCGATGTCCTCTATTTAAACAGTGTTCTCTTAAATAAAAAAAAAGCAAACATACTCCTGTCCACCAATCTTATCATAAATTAATTAATAAATACATCCAGTGAATTATGTATTAATTATTATTTTAGATAGCACGTCTTGATACTAACATCAGGATCTAAAGTTTGTTTTTAAATTCTGAGGTCTTTACATTTGAACAAAAAATAGGTTGAATCTGTCAATGAATTAAAAAGAAACCCTTTGCACTGCTATGATCTAGTTTGGGTTAAAATGTAAATATATTGCCTTCTGGTTGTAAAGTTTATAATGGTGTTCCATGTTGATATTTTCCAAGGGACAGCATTAAACCTTATGAATGCTTGATGCTTGGCTGAGTTTCATACCTACAGTTATCTCAGGAAGTGATTATGAGTTCATGGTTTGATTGACAGTTTAAAGAGGCCATTTTGTGGAGTTTGAACAGGAGTTTGCTCGTTCTGTTTCTGCAAAATTAACCACTTGAGATTTAAAAGCTTTGAATGTGGTTCATGAACAGGAGTTTTTTTTACTGTGTCTAAGAACTCTTTTAGATTGCAAATGTTAATTTTCTTCATCTCCACATGGCTTCTCAGATGTAGTGCATGAGGTCATAGTTCAGATATTACATTTTCTTGAGGCAGTAATGGCATCATGGCCAAACTCAGGAAAACTCACTTAACAGCAGCTTACAACAAAGGTGGTAAGTAACCTACCTTTTATGGTAGCAGTAGGAGCAGGGATGCCCCTCTCAGTTAGAAATTAAAGCACCTTTCTAATTGCCACCATTCCTAACCACTCCACCTCAAAGAAGTCCAGTTCTTGATTCCTAGTTTCTCATTCTGTAACCCCGTTCTTCCATCTCACATTCCTAATACATCAACACCTCACAACTTCCTAAATCCAAATTTTCAATCCCACTCCACCCAGACTCCTTCTGTTTTTGTGAAATTTAAGTTATCTGCTGGTGGTAAACTGTGCCATACATTCATGCTGTGCATATCAATGGCATAATGTAATCCAGGGTAATTAATTCCCATAATAATGAAAGGCACCAGAGACCTTCCATGTACACAGTAACTCCGGAAATGAATGTTTTACTAGAACAGTAAAAATAAATGAGAATGGATTTTCAAAATGTTCATGTTGCTGTCAGTCAAAGTAAGCAAGCAATTGCACAATTTGTACAACATACCAGGACATTGCTAACGCAAAGAATAATGAGATGAAATGTATTAAACTTGACTTAATTACTAAATGTATGGACAGTAGTATGTGGTGTTGAGTAAGTAGAAACATTGAGCACTTCTGCCTTATCTATGACATTCTTTTTCAGATGTGGGAGGAGGCCATTTCTATAGGCAAAGAACTTGCAGAACAGTATGAAAATGAACTATTTGATTATGAACAACTGAGTGAATTGCTGGTAAGATATTAAATTTTATTTTTACTTTTTTTTTCCTGCATGAGCTGTTAATCATTTGAATTTTGTGGATCACTTTTGCAGCAAAAACAAGCTCAATTCTATGAGAACATTGTTAAAGTGATACGAGCAAAACCAGATTATTTTGCTGTTGGATACTATGGTCAAGGCTTTCCTTCATTTATCCGGGTGAGCACTTTTAATTTTTTACATTGGTTTGGAAAACATTTTGACAACTCTATCAACAGGAAAACTTCAATTCATTTGCTTAATACGCTGTTACTCATTTTACAGAGGTATTAATTGTCTCACTGGTTCTTCTGTTCAGAATCAAAAACATTCCCAGATAGGGAAAGAAAATTGGTGGGAAGGAAATGTGTTGTATTTTGAAAAACTGACTCTAACATTAATCATCTTCAGGTTTATGGTATAAAACACAAATGAATGTTACCGGCAACCATTATTTGCAATTATTTTGCAGTATCAATAGATGTGAACAGGTTAGGCAGAATCAAACTACATTTAAGCCATACTCATAGCCTAGCATGAATTTTTAATTTTCTCTCCCTTTAAAATTAACTGTCAAACCTGCTGTGTTGGTTCAATAGGCACATTAACTTCTGTGGTACCTTGCACCATCAGCAATGCCTTGACAGATTTAACGCACATTCTTCAATATTAATATTTTTAGAATGTCTTTTGAGTGCCAATGTATTAAACTTCAATTTTAATTTTCTATTTTGTATTGTCAGAAATGTTTTTTTGACTTTTTTGAGTTGCTCAGTGTTATACAATAGAGGGACGAGACCAGCAGAGTGTTGTGGTAATGAGTTCCTTCTAAAGTAATTAAAAAGATCTATAGGTACGCAAAATACATTTAAGTTATCTGCTGGTGATAAACTATGCCATACATTCATACATTCCTAACTTAAATACGCAAAAGGAGATGAACTTTTTCATTTGCATTTACTGAAGGAAGTGGCGTTAGTATTTATCTCTAAAGATGTGATTTTTATATTTGAATTTCGACATTTATTTATATAATTTAGATTTGGAATTCTGCAGTCTATCCCTGATAAATACATTTGTGGTCACACCAATCCAATTCTTCAGGAAAATGAATTAAATCTATATTCTTCTTCTGTTCAATATTCCAATCGTATTGTAACTTGAATATTCCAAAAGCAAATTATTGCAGACAATGGAAATCAAACAAAACAAAAATTGCTGAAAATATTTTACAGATCTAGTAGACAGATGGAACAGATACTGAACTAATGTTTCAGGTTCAATCACTCTTAATTGTTTACGGTCTTCATTGAACTGATCCTATGCTTAGCAGAAAGTTTGAACCTTTTATATCATTTTTTTAAATAATATTGATGTCCTAAAAAAGCATATAAAACATATGAGCATCCCCTTAAATATGCTTTGTTCTACTGCGATCATGTTTTTAGACTTTAAGAATTCTGTTGTAGTTCTGGAGACTTTCCCCCTTGCCTTGACCCACATTTATGTCATGGTGGCTCTCAAATATGATGAGAATGAAAAAATGATTTCTCCTTGTCAAGGAAACCTCTTTTCCTAAAGTGTTAAGTAGTAACTACCTTATTTCCATCTCATTGTAACTCGCTCCTTTACATCCTACTTCCAATTCTCCTCCTCCATCGTGAAACTAGACGGCACAAATTTCCGACAGGTAAAAGAGAGCCGATATCTCGTGGCCACAACTCTGTCCAGCCATCATGCCTTCTTCTGACCAACTTCATTTGTATTTGTATTGGAATCAGATGCCAGTGATTTTATGTGGACTATAGCTAATTACTTATTTTCAATATTTCTAATGCTGTTCATACTCAGCAGAATATTTGCATTAATAAGATATTACAGGAATCTCTGTATAAACATGGGTTACTTTTAATGACTACTTATTCAGTGCAGTATAAAACATAGATATTTTAGATATACTCATACTCATGTCTAGGAATTTAAATAATAAAATCTATTTAGCAGTTGTTGAGTGAAACTGTTTGATGAATGGGAATATAGATTATCTAATATCAGTGAAAGCTATCAGACCATATATTTTGCTAAATTTTTAATTCCAAGAGTATTGCAAATTTGAACTGGTTCAAACAGTTTTAATGCAATGCATTTCGATTAATCTTGCATGTCCCAGTTTTTAGTTAGAAAGTGCAATGCACTATTTGCATTCGAATGTACCTGCCTGTATATTAGATCATGTAAGTGTTAACTTATCGAAATGGATTATACCAGGATCACATGAGAATCACTGTTATTATGAATACCAGAATGATGTCATACTGGATGAATGTACGACATGGCTGAGTTGTAGGTGCATTGACATTCTGAAACGTTTTCTGTTTGCCAAGTGTAGCAGCCAGTTTTCAATTTGAACTTTATCTAAATTTTCAAGAGAATAATATGAAAGCTGGCTACACGTCATGAATTGACTGAAAGTGAGGAAGTATGGCTGATTGTGTCAGTGATCACTTTCAATTTTCAAAATACACATTGTCTGTTTGTAAGATGTTGCTTGAAAGGAGTGATCGTCTTTCTGAGTTGGATTTAAAATTATGATATTTTACTTTTTGTTTTGTAATAATTTCCAGAAAAGCAAATTGGTCTTTCTAAAACAACATACTACAACAATTTGTATTTATGTAGCATCTTCAACATGGAAAATTTGGAGAGACGTTATAAACTAAATTGACACTGAGCCACTAAAGGTGGTAGATTGTAAAAAGAGTGCCTTAAAAAGGAAACTGACGCATCGTAATTAAATGGAGAAATGATTGCATAGCCAGAGTGCTGGAATAACTAAAATTGGGGGTGCTCAATCATATTGGAATTAAAGGAGCTTTGATATCTGAGTTTGCAGCCCAGAGGAAGTTAGAGTTGGGAGGAGCCATGTTAGGGAGGAGTTTAAAAATGCAGATGAGCTTTTTAAATTTTTGTTTTACCAGGAAGTAGTATAGGTCAGCAAGTACAGGATGATGGGTGAACAAAGATTTGATGCAAACTGGAATACACAGGAAAGCCTGTGTTAAGAAGGCTGATTACATATCTTTAATTAAAATGCATATACCCTATCAATGTCTGGGGAATAGAGAGCAGACAGTAGGAAGAAAAGAGTATCGAATCTTATAATTGTTATAATTATAATTGCTTCTTTTCAATTATAAATATTTGAAAATTATACATGCCTTTGATTTTAATTTGACATGTAATTTCTCATTTGAAAGAAATAACAATTGTTCATCCCATTCAAGTAATTATAAATCCTAAGCGCCAGATATCTATTTTTCCTCCAATCATTTTGTCTTCTATCTCTAAAACTAATCCTAACAGAAATCAATTTTGTAATAATATGCACTGAATCATTTGGATATTTTTAAATCCAAGCTGAAACAGACATTGGGTAGAATTTTCCCCCTCCCTGGTGTGGTGGGAGTAATGGTGAGAAAGGTGACAAAATATGGTGAGAATGGAAAAAAAAAAGACAATTTCTTGATGTCAAGAAAACCTTTTTCCCCAATCTTTAAATGGCAACTACCTTATTTCCATATATTTGAATCTCATTATATCTTTTTACATCCCACCTCCAATTCTCCTCCTCCTCCATGAAGCTAGATGATGCAAATTCCTGACAGGTAAAAGAAAATGGGTATCTCACAGCTACTGCTCATCAAATGCCTATCCAGCCACCATGCCTTGCTTCATCTGAACAGCATTCTTGCATACTTCTTGGCTAGCATCCTCCTGGATCCATCATTCTTGCACCTCAGCATTGGCAAACCATTGGCCTGACCACATCATCATGCCTGCTGTCAAACAAACTCATCCAACACTCCAGGCTTCAGCATGGTACTTTGGAGCTGACAGACAGCTAAGACGAGCATGCCACTGCCAGATGTGTATCCAAACAGGATGCTTTTGACTTTGTCTTATGGCTCTTAGCTTGTTTTCTTCGTGCTCAGTCACATTAAACTTGCTCAAAGGCTGTGAGTCTCTGCCTACTTCACTTCCCTTTCATAATACACATTCAGTTTACTAGTGAGTTACAGGTTGCTAGTTTCCATGTGATCACATTGCTTTCTCAGTGCTCAAGATATTGAGCGTTCAGTGTCTGAAATTTGAGTTTGATTTCCAGGGCAGACAAAGGAAAGCAACTCGTGATAGTGAGGAAGCACTGAATAGTCAATTCAGTAATAAAGGGGTGTGCATGTTGCTGGACGGCATTGTGCTAGATCACCGTCAGACCTGTGGTATCTGCCAACGCATACATGGCAAACACTGCATGTGCTTTAAGCTAGTGGAGATATGAAAGTCAAAGGGAACTAATCTTCAGTAGGGTGAAGGGGAACTAAATTCAGTCACAGAATACTGCAGCAGTCAAGGGGCTCATTTGTTTAAACCACAGAGTTCGCCATGGTCAGTCAGGCATTTGGTCCTATAGGATTCTTGGAATCCATATCCTTGCAGTCCGCGATTGGTCCACAGTCAGTCCTGAGGTCAAGTGCAAGCAGTCTGCGGATTATGGGTAGGGGATGGGCAGTGATCAGTCAGGGCTATCCTACCAAGTTAATCTTGGGGGTGGGCCACACTGAGTATTAGGGGTTTGATTAACAGTACTAAAGGAGGTTATTGGGGGCATTTTGTGGAGTTCTTGGAAAAGTGGGCAACTCCAGATGAGGGGTGGGCTTCATTGTGCTGAGGCTGAGGGAGTGATACTTGTGACAGGAGGCAATTGCAAATAGTAGGATGGGGCCACATAGTCAATAGATGTGACCTGGGAACTCCGGAAGTTGGAGGTGGAGCAGAAGGCCTCAAACAAATCACTGTAACTCTGAATTCTACATGGTGAGGGTGTAGAATGAGCAAGGGAATGGGAATTTTCAAAGTCATTGGTTTTCAGGGTAAAATGGGCTTATTCGTAGTTATGTAAAGGCGATCAACTGAAATTAGAAAGAGGCTGAAAAGTCAGTCTGGCCACAGGAGCATCAGAAAAAGAGACATAAAGGAAGGGAGTGGTCAATTGTGTCACAAATGGAGCTTGCACATCACTCATGCTAACAAGAAGTTTGAACATCACCATAGCAAATCAAAAGTCAACTGTGGCACTGACTTCACAAAATGGTTGATATCAAATGCAGAGTGGACAGTGT